CGCAGGAGGAGGCGGCAGCCTCAGGCCCCGCTGCCTGCACTCTGCAGCGCCAGCACCTTCCTTGTCCAGCACAGCCCGTGTCCTCCGCCTGCTGGCAATGGGTTTCCTTCTCCCCGTAGCAAGCCCCTGCCTTGCCTTCGCGCCCGTACGTGATCGGCCTGACCGGAGGAACCGGGAGTGGGAAAACGTCCATCGCCAAGCTCCTGGGGCGCCTGGGAGAGTTCCTCATCGCAGCCGACAAGCTGGACAACCGTCTCTATGTCCCCGGTTTTTGGGCCCTGCCTACAAGCAGGTGGTGGCGACCTTTGGCGCAGGTAGAGCCACTGGAAGCTGTGGGCAAGGCTGGGAACTGGAATATAGGGGAGGAATGTGCCATCATCCCAGGGAGCCGTCCCGGCCCGTGCTCCCTCCCTCCCGTGGGTTCTGGGCTCTGTAGCTCGTTCAGTGATAGTTGGGCCTGAGCAGGACAAAGGACAAGGACCACTGCTTCCCCCAAGCCCTGCCTGTCCCGTGGCAGAGCTACTGCAGGCGGCTGAGCCGGGCTGCTGCTTGTCTGGGGAACGCTGCTCTTTGTCCTTTTCCGGAGCAAGGTGAAGAGCTGCCAGGTCAGGTCCTGCAGCTCCTTTCTGGGTCCCTCTGAGAGCCCTGTGCTGAAATCCTGTCGCTCTGCCCTAGGCCGGCCGCGGGGAAGGGAGTTGGGTTCATTCCTCCCAAGCCTGTTCTGCTTCTGTCTTGCAGAAATCCTGCATGAAGATGGGACAATCAACAGGAAAGTCCTTGGGGCCAAAGTGTTTGGAAACCAGGTAGGAGCAGCACAGACACGGTATTTCGTCTCCATCCCTGACATATGCAGAGCTGGTGCTCTCAGAGGCCCTTTCTAGGAGCGGCTGAAGAGTCTCACAGACATCGTGTGGCCTGAGATAGCTCGGATGGTGAAGGAGCAGATCAGGGAGGCAGAAGCTCAAGGTAACCGGACACAGAGCGGGGCGCTGGGTGCATGGTCTTGTGCAGCACAGCAGGACACAGCGCCCCGGCGAGCGGCTGCTTTGGGCAGCACCGGGAGTGTTCTCCGTGCTCAGACCCCTCTCTGCTGGGCAGCTCGCTGGAGGTTGTCACTGCCACGTCTCTGAGCACACCCCTGGCCGCGGGGCCAGGCTCGAGGACCTGCAGGAGCGTGGAGAGGAGCAGTCACGTTGCCTGCGACTGCAGGTAGTGAGGATGTCCTCGTCCCGCAGGAAAGGCCGTGTGCGTGCTGGACGCTGCCGTGCTGCTGGAGGCGGGCTGGCAGGACATGGTCCATGAGGTGTGGACGGCCGTCATCCCGGAGGACGAGGTGGGAGATGCCCCTTGGCCTGTCGCTCGCTGCCGGGGCCGGTCCTTGGCTTCCCGTCAGAGCGCCTGAGGGT